GGAGCTTGCCCTTGAGGAGCTGGTTGCCGCGGCGGACGGTCTCGACGAACTCGCGGGTGTAGATGTCCGGGTTGCGGCCGTTCTCGACGTACTCGAGGAGCTCGGGGGGCACCGAGGGGAGCTGGTTGGGGGGCGAGGCTGCGGTGTGGAGGGCCTGGAGGGCTTGGGATAGGTTTTTGCTGGTTGGGAGGGTCAACAAAGGAATTGTTCGCTGGGAGTGAGGGAGAGTGGTTACATTTCATTCGTGAGGACGTCTCTGCTTGAGCGGCCCATTGCGTCGTATGTGGAGACTTGGACCATGATTTGGTAGAGCTCCTGGACTACGTCCTTGAGCTTGCCTGAAGGACTTGGTTAGCTGGCGCGCGCGGTTACGGAAGGAGGGATTGGGCGATGTACGCTCGATGTTGTCATGGTCTACCTGGCCGAGTGGTGCCATGGCTGCGACTGGAAGATAGCGATTGACGGGCTCGGAGGGGTGAAGAAGAGAAGGTTATGGTTCGCGAAGGCGGGATGAAGTGCATGCATGGGATCTGGAGGTGGGCGTTGATTGTCGCAAGAGATAGCGCGAGCCACATTGTGGCGCTTCCACTCTGCTGAGCTACCCTGGACTGCCTGATTGTCCCTCCCTACATGTGATTGGAACTTGCAAACTTCAACATCAGTCTTCACGATTGATATCATTAATCTTCATCAGTGATTATTCTCTTGTTGTATCTTATGTGCCCTCTCGCATTTTCTGGTATAGACGAGATAGCAAGCGTATCAACAGAGACGCTCTAGAGGCTATAACTATCTAGGTCAGAGATTCACCCTTTACATTCACCAGTTTCACGCTTGTCTTCGAATCCTTGAGGGTGGCTTTAGTGACTACTCCATCATCGTCCCAAGTAAAGTCCACAGATCCTCCACCGCGGATGCGAAGACCTTTGACGCTGCCTCCGGCCCACGCCTTTGGGATGGCCGGCCCCAGGATCACCGTTCGCACTTGGTCTTTGGGGGCGTCATGTGGCAGTGGAAGATCCACGGTCAACATGCTCAGGACAGCACCTCCAAACCCATAGTTGGCGTCAATTTGGAAAGGTTCGTTGAGCCCGCTATACATGCTGAAACCATTGCCGACAAAATTCTCGTCAATGGCATAGCGCATATGCCAGTATGCCTGCTCGGTATTGTTCAGACGTGCCCATGCCGCTGATCGCCAGATCTTGCCCCATCCCGCGTTTGCATCACCGGCATTCCCGTCTCCCCGCGCTATGAGCGTCTTCTCGACGGCAGACTGGATCGTCTCGTTGGTGTAACCCCCAAGGTAGGACGACATGGAGTACCCGGGATGCCAGCCAGTGAGATGGCTCAGGTGGCGATGGTCGCTCTGGACGTCGTATCCGTAGGAATCGGGGAGCTTCCACTCCTTGACGCCGCCCCATTCGCTAACGTGGAAGCCTTTGTCCAGCTTGGCTAGTGCCTGGCTGATCTGGTCAAGGAACTCTTGGTCCTGCTCGTCTGCATATGTGGCGCCGGCAAGAATTGTGTCAAATGTCCTATGAATCTCCTGCTGGTAATGCGCACAGCCGAAAGTTGTAGGTCCATGCTCGGGGCTATTGCATGGATTGACAACGAGTGTTCCATCCTCGAAGAAGGCGTCGTCTTGCAGTTGCGAGAGCCAGAATTCGGCCACACCTTTGATTAGAGGATATCCTTGTCTCTTAAACCACTCAACATCCTGAGTATACTCGAAATTATCCCACACATGCTGCATCATCCAGGCCGGGGCCGCAGGATCTGTGTATAGGTTAGAGGGCTGGTGCCACTTCTGGTTTGGGGCTTTGGTGAGACTTACAGAATGCCCAGACTGCATCCATCTTCATCGCCGTGAAACCAAACACATTCATCTCATTGTGGACAACCCAGCCTTTGGCACCATACAATAGCTGAGCAGTCTCAGTTCCACGCGGAACCCAATTCTGTTCCATATAATCCCAAAGACCATCCTGTGTTTCCTTGAGACCGGTTTGATCTGCCACCCAGTAGTTCATCTGTATATTGATATTGGCGTGGTAGTCTGCGTTCCATGCTGGCCAGAGCTCCTCTGTCCATCTTCCTTGGAGGTTAGCAGGCAACGAACCCGGCCGGGAGGCTGTGATCAACAGGTGGCGAGAGAAATCAAACAACAGGGCCTCTAGGAAGGGATCTCCAGGCCCATCCACTGAATATTCAGCAATGACGTCTGCAGTTTCCTTCTTCGCTGAGTCGTGGACATCCGGAAGATCCAACGAAAAAGCCGATTGCAGCGACTGATAGTCGGCAATATGATCATTGGATAGTTGCTTGAAACTCTTGGATGAAGCGGCCGAGATGGTTTGAGACACAGTTTCTTCGGGGTCCTCGCCTTTAAACGAGTAGTTGTTTTCCGCGTTGCCCTTTGACTGATCAAAGTTGGTGCCTGCCGCTATCACGATAGTGACGGATTTCTGTCCTTGAGGAGCTGTGACTTTCAGGGCTCCTCCATCGCTGGAACATTCAGTAGCAACTCCAGAACAGCTCGAGATCTTTGCCACTGCCTCATATCTCAATCCCTCTGGTGGTCCCGCTTGGGTAAGTCCCCTCACGCGAACGGAGCGCTTTGCGGCATCACAGGTCTGCTCGATAAGTCTGCTATCTCTCAATGTGTTCTCGAATGCGACGGTCAGCTCAGGTAGTGTTCCGGTGGCCTCGACATGGTAAACGCAAACTTGCTGAGGGAACGAGCAAAACACCGAAGTTGTGTACTCGGTATCCTTCACCGTGTACTTGGTTGTGTGAATTCCCGTAGTCAAGTCGAGGGATCTGGTGTAGTCAGTATAGTCCGCATCGAGGCCTTGAATAGCAACGGTCAAGTTTCCAAGGGTCTGGTATGCGCCATAGCCAGCATCTCCACCCAAAAGAGCGTCCACATCTAGCGTTTGGTAAGTCTCAATTTAGTCTCAAGGGTCGACCACAAGGTGAACTTGGGGAAATTGAGCAGGCTTACTTCCTGTTCCGTTCTGGAATATTTCGGCACGGATCTCTGGCAGGGCCGAATACTTCTCGCTGGTTGGGTTGCCGCCTCGGTAGTCCTACCCTGGTGTGAACTTGATGATAGACTACTCTCGAGTTTCTTTCTACTTACGGATACCTGGAAGGGCCCGCCGGTCCAAAGGGAGTCCAGACTGAGGATTGCTTTCTCAGACCCTGGAGGACCGTGTGGTAAAGCTGTTTTCCCACATCAGTTCTGGGTTCGACCTCTTTGATTTGCGGATGAAAGCGAACCTCCTAGTCTTCCGTTTCCAACTGGATAGGCGGTCTTCAGAAGATAATCGGGGCTGGCTCTGAAAGCATGTGTTGCGGGTTTTGAAGACCACAGAGACCTTCCAGACGCAATGCCGATGCCGGAGAAGGCTACCAGAAGCTGGAGCGCCATTGTCGCCATGATTCTGCGTTTTGCCTGCTGTAGGCTGTCGTCCGCCCTCGAACGTGTCGCTCCTTTCTATATTTTTGCTCAGGTTCGAGGCACCATTGAGACAGCGAAGTCCCTTACTTAAGAGAGGTCTCTGATTGACAGTAAAATAACTTTCGGCGGCCCTCGACCCGTTATACCGCATCTCACCAACAAGGGGTAAGGCGAGGCAAGAAAACAATTCTTCCCCTTCTTGTACATATTTTGAATCCTCCCATACCAATAGAAATCTGGATAATTCCAGGAACGACCCGGCACCTGCTCAATTGAGATGGCTCAACCCCGGATTCTCCGCATCAACCGATGGTCGATTGGCGGGATTTTGGGTGTGAAATGGCCCGTCGGTTTTGTTTCCCGGGACATTGGAGAACCGGCTGAAAGATATTAAGGCAAGGTCTAAGCCAAATCTGCGGCGCATTTCCCATGCAGTTGATGAACACCCGAGATGGCTGAATGTTGTATTGAGAAAATACCCGTGCCAATCATATATGCGGGCCCTGTTGGACTTGGCATTGCGACATGGCATCTCGAGGGCTTTGGGTTTTCTTTACATCTTATACCATAGTAGTCATTCATGCTAGATAGAATCTGCATTGGTGTAACAGATAGCTAAATGTATTGAGTGGTTGTGGTTGAGGCTCGCGGATAGCTCTCTAAGCAGAAGAACTGCAGTGTGCCAGATCGTCTCTTGCTTCAGGCAAGAACTATATCAGCTCTAGTAATAAGTGAGAGACCGATAGTGTTTTACGACAGCTACTGAAAAAAGGGGAATTCCCCAACACCAAGAATTCAACAACTCGACACTACACCTAGCATCACAACACATCAAATTTCAGCCTTTCTGGCCCGGCTGCGAGGCTTGCGCCCGGCCGTATATAAGGTACAACACCAATAATGGCTTGTGCCCGACATGATGACTCTTTTTCTTCGGCGTGACTCCTTTCATGAACCTTATAATGCTGCTTTCCATCTATTCAAGGGCCGCCATCCCCGGCCACTGTGAACATACTTAACTAAACCGCATAGCTCAAGCCCACACCGACAACATATCCGTTCGCAAATCGCTGCCTTTGTCGCTCCAAGGCAATTCAAGTGTCACACATCGCTACCTTCATCGCTCCATTAGTCAAATTAGTCGAGTCTTACCGTAACCTTCGCCGTCAGTCGAACCAGTCGACTCTCGCACATCGCTGCACACACTCAAGTCCTTGCCAAAACTTCAAACATCCCACCGAGCTCTCGCCCGATATGCTCTGGACTTGCAACCACAAATACACTGAACCTCAATATCAGCAAGCATCAAGATGCCAAATAGAAAACCGCCGGTGGCAGTATTAGAGCTTATTATCAGAGATGGGCAGCTAGATGACTTAGAAATCTTAAGTCTTCCAAGGTTAATATAAGCGATACAAGCTTGTAGGTGATGCTAGGGCAGTCGGCCCGCTCGAGACTATTAGCTTGCAACAACTAGTTGGCCTATTTAACTTTGGTAGTAATATCCTCAAGAGAACTTGAGTAGACCAACTAGCTGTTGCAAGCTAATGACCTCAAGCGACCCAACTGCCTTAGCATCACCTACAAGCTTGTGATCGCTTGTCTTTAACCTTGGGAAGACCATATCGGCTCGAGTATGCGATTCAAGTTTGACCAGACTGTTCTTAGACATTATCTTGTTATTTTGTTAGACACAAAGGTCGCAAGAAGCTCAACTAGCAACCAGAAACCAGACCCTACTGAAACTCCTTAAATCACTTAGACTTAGGCATCTTACTATCCTCCGGACGTGTCCTAGGACCCTACTTTAGCATCTGATAGGCAAATTCTACCAAGGTATTCATCTCAGTTTTGGTCATATAAGATGCCCCCCCCCTCCAAAGTCATGACAGTAGAAGCAACCGTATGCTTATAGTCTCGAGAAACTCGCCTAAGCAGCCAGGAACGACCTATATTCACGGTAAATTCGCCCATGATCTCATCCCAGCGCCGTTGCCAAACTAATCAGCCCTAGAAGTCCAAAGTCCGAGAGAATCTAAATGTTTTCTTGTTTTACCTTGCAAATAGTGTCGTAAATTGACCGTGCTAATGTCTTATCTTCCGCGCTGTTCATCAACGCTGTTCATGAATAGCCCTTCTTTATCTGCTGAAATATCCTACTTTCACCCTCACGCTGATCAAACTCTTCATCAAGTGAAGGTTATAGGTGGCATATCGAAGGCTCTCCAGTCAGCTTGGTCGTACATGTTTTTAGTCATGTAGAAACTTAGGCTAGGCCGTGACTAATTTTGAGAAGGCACAGCGCCTAAGCTGCTGGGAGGCCACACTCATTTCATAGATCCTTTCCTAATTGCAAAGTCTGATCCTGTATGGCTGAGTGGCGGTGGAAACATACAAAATTTCACATAGCCAGCCAACCAGCATTGCTCTTCCAGTGGTGCAAGACACTCATAGCAGCAGGTCAGAGAAAATAACAATTTTGAGTGCTAAACGGGCTCTCTCCTCCTGCCACAAGGCGCACATAAATGCCATCCGTAGCCGGTCATTCGTCTAGGCGAAATCCGTAGTTCAGACGACGTTGAACTCCCAAAGAAAGCCAAGAGATTGATTATTAAATACCCTTAGGGTAGACTTACGCCATTAAACAATCCAATGATGATTATTTCAGGCTCCCCTTCGCCGGGTTCTCGGTTCGCTTTGTTACGCCGCCGCGCGCGTATCGCTCAGCCTTCAGAGGCAAAAGGATTCAAAACGCCAAGAACTAGCTCCCGCGAACCTTGTAATGAAGCATGAAACATACGCGCCTTGGCCAGACCCCGCAGAACAAATTTAAGCAGTCAACATGGCCTAAAATGCTCCGACCTATTGGATTTCATCTACGCAAGGCATCCGGATCACCCGCGCGGGTCCCACCGTGCTTAAGATGAAACTGCCCAAGTGCCGTGCCTCCTCCTGTTCTGGTAGTTTAGAAATCCAACTTCCCGGATTGTGCTAGTCCAACGAGCCTAATTTGTACTTTAGTTGGTCTTCTCTCGTCTGTCTTTTGAGATGAAATGAGTTGACTGAGGTAACAAACAAGGACTCATACCATTGAGAGCATGTTGATGAGCCTTGTCTCATTTCTCAACTCTTTGTTCTCTGTCCGCACTCTGAGCGAAAAGTATTACAGGACTCGGGAACCAAATTGTTTGTCGGGACACATCCGCTCCCTATTTATAGACTCATCCAAACTAGGCAGAAAAGCTGTTCCTGGACTAAAGGTATTTGGAGTCTCAGATTCGGCCCCAAAGTGTGGCCACATGCAGCTAGGAGGTCAGGGGCACATTGAAAGTAAAGTAGTCTAGAAATGCTCATCCCTGTTGGCATACATCCATGATCCATGATCCCCTCATCGGTAGAGTATCACGGTAGTGGCATGGCGACAAGGGTTTCCAGCTTCCTAATGATGCCTAAACTGTTCTCACCTTGTTTATTATAAAACCTCTGGGCTCTCCAAACCACAGTTCCAAGCATCCGGTTCAACCAAGCTCGGTCTTTGATTCATTCTTTCATTCGTTCTTTTCTGACAATTCAGTTTACACTCACTCTTTTCCAACAACCTTCATCATGCATCGTTCTCTTCTACTCTCTTCGCTCCTTGCCATGGAGGTTGCTGCACATGGCTTCGTCAAAACCTTCACTCTCGATGGAGTCGAGTATGAAGGTTTCTGGCGTTGGAACAACAACCCCGACCCAAAGGCCATTGGCTGGAGCTTCACAACTCCCGATGAGGGTCCCATTCTTGACATATCCAACCCCGACCTGAGCTGCCGACAGGATTCGGCACCGGCCAAGAACTATGGCCAAATCGCCGCGGGCGGCAAGGCCGACTTCTTCTGGACCTCTGAGGACAAGGTCATCAACCCCAACGGCTGGGCCGAGAGCCACCGCGGCCCCATCATGACTTACATTGCCCCTTGTAACGGCGACTGCACCACCGTCGACAAGGCCTCACTCAAGTGGACCAAGATCTACGAGGAGGGCCTCATCTCCGGAACCGCCAACACCAACGGAGTTTGGGCCTCCGATAAGATGCGTCAGAATGGCGGTATCAACTCGGCCACCATCCCTAGCAGCATCGCCCCCGGAAAGTACGTCATCCGCAACGAGATCATTGCTCTCCACCGCGCCCACATCAACGAGCCCGAGTTCTACGCCCAGTGCGCCAACATCGAGGTTACCGGCAGCGGCACTGACGACCTCTCCGGGAAGGGCGTCATCGCCACCCAGCTGTACAAGACCACCGACAACGTCTTTGGATTCGATGTCTACAACGTGGGGAAGGAGACTACCTGGCCCATTCCCGGGCCCGCTGTGTACTCTGCTGCTGCTGATTCCGGAAATGTTGGTAACGCTCCCAGCTCTACCAGCATTGCAAGCTCTACCACTGTACCCAGCACTACTATCTCTACAAGCACCGTGAGCTCTACCAGCGTTTCAAGATCTACCAGCGTTGCCAGCGCCCCCAACACGGCCGTCGCTACAAGCACTGCCAGCTCTCCCAGCGCTACCAGCACTAGCAGCCCTGATAACTCTGGTGACAACGGTGATGACGACGACAATGGCAGTGGGTGCAAGGGCGGTAGGGGCCGCAAGGGTGCCAAGTCCTTCAGAGCGTAAGGATGAATGTATACATAGGTAAACACTACATAGATGCAATCACCTCGCACATGCTTATCAACCATAGTGTTCGAAGAATTTGCTGTCGTCAATTGTAAGCCTAAACCTACCATACGAACCAAAACATAGAATTACCAGTGATGAGTGTTACACACTGAAAAGGTGCCTCTATCTAAGACTCTAAGGTAGTTGTCAAATCTGCAGATCGTAGTCACTTGTGATGCCTCTACGCCTAAACATGTACGTACGGAAGACAAATCACCACTACTAGCCAGGCCAAATAGCCTAACATCAGGTAGTCTAATATTTAAGGCTGGGGTCGTAGGCGTAGGGAAGGAAACTTTATAACCTTCGTCACTTTCATATTCAACAACATCATTCCTTTTTGTGACAAAAGTTTGCGTCTAGGTTGAAAACAAAGTCAGATTTTCCCATTGTGGCGTCTTTTCTCTCTTCTGTCTTCTGTCCTTTGTTGAAAACTTGGACAGACTAAGTACCAACTACTATGAACTTCTTAATTGAGTAGACAACTTTTCGCCAACAGATTACTTTCGTTTCTTTTGGGGGGATAAATGTATAAGTCTCATAGCATAGCCACTTGAATAGGTTCCTAAGTCTTGAGATAACATGTGAGATCTTCTTACAGTGCTGATTTTTGTTCTCTCTGATCTCCCCCGCCTTGGAAGCCGTCTCTAGCGCTTTGTAGCTACTCCCTTGGACTCGGTGCGATTTTTCTATGAGTGTCCCAATAGACAAGTTTCACTCACAGTGCGGAACGACAAACATCAGTAGGTCAGCAGCCATAGCTCTCCCAAGGGTAGCCAACAGCATACCAAGAGATATTTCCAAAAGAGCAATCCTGAGAAAAATCAACAGGGAGTTGTCTGAGATACGCACAGAAAACATAGAGATTCTTTTGGACAAGCCCAAAGATATTCACACTTGGCTTGAAGAAGCAAAGAACGGCTTCAAGTCGGCCCTGGCAGGAGGCGAGGAGCGCGTCCCTGGCGATTTCTCATCTTGGATATGGCAGGAACTGCTAAAAGAGTCCACAGATTTCCAGGAGACTGATAACACAAGCATGATGGAGAACGACTTGTGGAGTAGCAAACGAGGCATCCGCCGTCGTTTGCCAAATTGCTTAAGGGAGTGGAAATTTGCGATATTGTCCGAGGCCACACTTACATTCGACACAAATTCTCCACTCAGATGTCGCACCTTGGGAATAATTTGCGAGGAGAGTCCTTTGCAGGTCATACTGGTTCCCTCAATAGAGATTACGCCACCGCATGGACCAGAGTCATCGCCAGCGGGGTCATGGGTTGGAACTGAAGAGTTTGGCGAGGGAGAAGATCTCAGCATGTATGAAATGGAGCCCGAATTTTTCGTACTGGATGGAATCGAAGAATACGAAGCGCTCGATTATGATGCACGAAACTCTCTGCAGTATGTCTTGGGAGATTGGATGGGCGACGGGGAGATCTCAGATAGCAGCGAGGATGAGGAAGGGTTTTAAAACATAGCTAATATGGCTCATCAGCAAGTAGTTTATCTATCTATGAGCCTTCGATCTGAAGTGCTTTGGCAGGTGATCAATAGCGACACAGAACAAAGGAGCTTCTTCGCTATAGTGAATGGATGCTTTAGTTCCAGTGAATACCACTCTGTCTTAGGTGGCCTCTGCAATACCGATTTATCTTCAATACAAACCGAGGACATTGATTCGGAATCGCAGAGAGTGAACCATCTAAACACACTTGGGGAAACAATGCTTGTTAGTTGATAGGTTAGTGCCGTGAACTGCTACCGTTGGATGCTATCACAACCTGGCTACGAGCTTAAATCTTTCATATAACATACAACTGGCACGAAAATATACATAGTTGATCAGTTCAAGTTTTCTCTGTGCATCTGGCGCCCAAATTTGATGCCTACTTACGTGTTTGCATCCCTTCTAAGGCAAGCGTACAGTTGGTGCATCTGCTCCAAGTGTAGATCATATGAAATCCGCACATAAAACATTAAACTAGTCCAATTGCTGGCTTGAAGCAAGAAACTACTCTAACTAGGGGTCCATGATGAATACGCGAGATAGGGAGGGAGGTGTATGTAATACATAATACCTACTAGCTAACTTCCCCTCACACCACGTTCGTCCGTTGATTCCCTGGAATTTCAAGATTAATAGAAGCGTGAATGACTCGAGGATATCGCAATTCCCAAGAAATATCTCTGCCCCTACCTTTTCACAACGTGTGTGCAGGCGAGAGATGTACAGGCCACCGGCTAGCTGTTGAAGCGATAACTTTAACGCATCCGAGCTCAACTGGGGGGCAGAGAGATCTTAGGAAGCAGCAGGGGGACAAGAGGGGTAGTGGAATATGGACACGGAAGTTCATGAGCAAGCGACTTATATAAATGGCACACCCAGAACCTCCAGCGTTGAATTTTAACACAATGTCAAAACAACTAATCCAGTAATAAACTGGATATCGAGCTCAACATTAGAGAATAATTTATATTATGATTATTTTGGTTCGTATTGCTAAGAAGAAAATGAGGTCCATGGCTTACGTGAATAGGGCTCTAGTGTACCATGTTCTATTTCAGCTACTTGACGAGTCATATTCTGGTGTTGCGATACTCGACCCTAACGCGTACCACAACACTGTATCTTCCATGGCCTATAGGAACGCAGCTTTGCTGCGGTCGTGTTTCACCGACCTCGAGCTAAACTGCATGTCAGCCCAAAGTTGCACATTCATGCAAGTCAGCCTCAGCTGCCGCATATCAAGAAATTTCTCCCGTGGTTTCTTGTCGCTCGACCTCACAACACTTCATCCTATTAATCAGATTTGACTTTCCCCTTCAATAATAGGTCTTTGCACTAGGAACATGTCAGCTTCATTTGGGCGACTCCAGGCCTCCGCGGTTGCAGCGACGCAGGAGCTTACTCTCGCGGCCGCCAACATCAACTTCGACTTTACACTTGTAAAATACGAGGCACCAAAGGAATTCCAACCTCTAGGGGAGCTTCTGACATGGAAAAGAAAACATGAAGCAGAAAGTGGTAGATCCCATATCACCGCACGACGTCTCGGAGCCTTGTTCGACGGCGTTTGTCCAGACACCCCGAACCTCATCAAGGCTTATGGAACACGAGTTGCAGAAGTCTCGAAGCAAGCAGTCGACAACGAGCCCAAAGAGTACCAGGATTCCATCTTTTCGGCGTACACCGGCGTGGATGGTACTTCGATTTGGGCAGCAGCTACCTCGTCGAAGACGGCGATCCATGTCCACATGCTTGCTTGCATGCTAGCAGAGTTTTGGGATCCCCCTGAAGCCGTATCTATCTGGGAGGAGCTTGTCGCAGAAAGAAGAAGAGATATCGCAACTCGCTTAGAACAGGGGGAGCCCATGCCTATCGCCCTCGCTGCTGCGGCACAACAGGACATCTCGCGACAAGATTTAGCCGTCTTGGATGCCAGCGCCCGGGCGTGGACCCAGACAGCTAGGACAGTGATGCGTGTCAATTACACACAGCTCAAACTCATCTTGAAGAATCTGGACGCTTTTGTCAATGAACAAACAGATGTGTTCGGTGGAGTGACTGAGGCATGGAAGCTTACTTTAGAGACAATGGAGAAGCTTGTATCTGGAATACCACAAGAAGCTCGCCGCGGAGCAGCGGTACTGGGCATATCAGCCTGGCACATATATCCAGACATCCACGTATTTGGGGCCAGGAATGTGGAGGTTCAAATGAACGATCCTTTGGTACAGAAAGGGGGCATCTTGTCTCTCGGTTGCTCACAGTCAGATTCACATCCCGGGGTGCATTGGTCCCTCTGTCTCAACCACTTCAAGTTCTACGGCTCTTCTGTGCAAAGGAAGCAAACCTTGCAAGAAAATCCCAATATGGTACCATTTCGGAATTTTCACTATGCAATTATCGGAGCAATCTTGAGCAATTGGGAGACATCAACTGAGGAAATTTCCACAGGCCTTCAAGTCTTCATCAGTCTCTGTTCACTCATGTCTGCAGAAGATCCTAACATTGCGATCATGCTCAATTCAACGGAGATAGCGGCACAAGAGTGCCGAGATGATCCCACTACCCGAGTATTTTTCGACTACGGACGACGGAAATCACATTTTCTCCCTCCCTATAAAGATAAAGTAGGGGCGCTCGAACCTCTCGTACCCTGGTTTGGGCTAAGCCATGGCGAGACCTTACTCAATTGTTTTCAGAACCCCGATGACCGAGTGGATTTTCTTAGACGGATGGCAGCAAGGGTTGAGTTTGATGACATGGACGTGGTGCTCTGCGATACTCCTAACTTGCGGGTGCATATCATGAAATCGCATACAGATTCATTGGCCAGAAAATCATTCAAAGAAGGACCAGTACGTTTGTTGTTCAGACAAAAAATCGTCCATATCTATCCTGGTTGGATATTAGACTTGGACAACGACAAGTTGGTATACACGGGCTACTTGAACAAGAACAAGAGAACATTTGACCTTTGGTTCGGGGAACCTTCAACTGCCGCTATTTTCCTCCGCCGCCGACAGCTACAAACCAAACCAAAACCAGCGAGAATCACCGCGGAAGATCTTCGTTGGTGTTTAGAACATAACAAGCTATCAGCAAAATGGCTACTGCGGGATTCAGAAATGGCCACTGATATGCTGCTTGTAATTTCTTGGATTCATTTTGCTGCAACGTGTTTTAACCACCTCCCGACAGTCATGGTTGACATGCGGAGCCTGGGGAGACCAATTTTTCGGGAACCCTGGAATGATGGTATACTTAAAATGGCCAAATTCCCTCTCGATTGGCGTTTCACCATAAAAAACTGGATCTCACTTATCGCAAGCTGGGCAGCTGGGGTTAAAATACCATTGGAAGCGATTCCCTCAGGCGTTATGGGTGTCTCAACTGGAGATTCCCTCCTAGTTCCTTCAGAGGCAAGGCACCTCGGCATCATTTCACTGTTTCATCGCATTGAGCCACCGCTAATATTTTCTCAGCTTCTAAAGGATCCTTGTGATAGAGAGGGGAAGGCTCTATTGACAAGAATATTAGGAAACATAGGCCGCCCCGGATTTGTATTGTTGTCGTCGCCGGAAGAACCAATGCTCGCTCCCCTTGATACGGTGGAGTGGAGAATGTGTAATATGAACCCATTTGATGGGAAGGGCGAAGACATGCTAAACTCCACATCATTGCACTTGTCCTTCACAGATTGGTCCCGTCCCCTAGACCTCCAAACTACCGTAGGTCACAAGGCTGTTGAAAGCTTGGTCATCGAGTCAGTTGTTAGCATTCGGGAACGCGGTAAGTGGGTTGGCGACATCGATCCGACAAGAGCTCTGCGTAACCGGATTGTGTCCTTTTTGGCGCCACAAGACCCGTGCTCTCATGCGCCCAATGAGCCACCCGCTGTTCCAATGACTGCAGTTGAGTGTTGGGATGAGCTGAGGGACTGCCCTGAAAAGCTAGTCGTTGTAAAGGCACACGGGAACTGGGTTGCCCGGCTTGCGGCGACTGCTTATCTTGTTGAGTGCTCAAAGCAAACACCAACCAAGGTCAAGCGGATTACAGTTTGCCCACAGAGGGTCTGTTGGGCTTGTTTGGAGCCCGAATTTGAGTCCAATATATACATCTATTGATTTGTCATGTATCAGATTACACGTCTAAGCTAGTTTGCTAGATCGTACCCATGAAACAATTCAATAATTTTTGATGATGGCTAGCTAAGCTTCGTTCTAGAATATGTTTGAGAAGCGTCCAAGCACAAGCTGACGCCAAGTAGAACTGCGTTGAAAATTGCCATCATATAGAAAGGCGCACCAGTAGAGAGCTTGTCAAACAGATACCCGCCGAGTTTGGTGAGCAGGAGAATAGCAGCACCGCCAAAGAGAGAGTATACCCCTGAGATGGAACCTTTTAGCTTCATTCGCGTTACAGGTTCATCTTCCGTGAAGTTGCTCATCAGGGGATCCGCCTCGGCCGAGTCGTCCTCGTCCTCGTTTCCATCCTCGCTGAGACCGGGAGCGATGAGCGGCTCCCGTCGGTCGGTCCTGGGCGCGTCTACCTGGTTAATGCCCTGTCCCAGGATCCCCAGGCTGCATACGATGGCACCAATCTGGCTCACGCCAATGAGGGCAACCACAAGGAAGATAAAAGGACTGCCACCTCGACCATCCACGTTCTTGATCTCAGGGCTGGGCAGATGTGGGAAAACGATGTACCCAACCATGCCAAACACAGTGGCGACAACGATGGGCCAATTTACCCTACCAGTCCGACGAGACAGGTACCCAAAGGCCGGGGCGCAAAGGAGGGCGACGAGCTGCGAAACGCCAGTCAGGATCGACGACAGAACATAGGCTGACTTGCACTCCTCCTTCAACTCTTGCGAAGGGTCATTTGGCGAACCGTGGCAGAATCCCCTGTCAATGAAGAAAGTATTGACAAACACGGGGATGAAGAGCGAGATGGCAACAGATGATGCCCGAGCCACAAATCCACCAACATAGCCAAGACAGATCTTGCGGTCGGTAAACCCGAGGAGGAAGGACTCCTTGAGTAACCGCAGATATGGGACCATCTCCTGCTTGCGCGCCATTAGACAAGATGGTCATTCTACCGGCATTGGGATATCAACGTACCTTTCTTTTCCTCGACAAATCTACATCCTCCTCGTCAAGAGCATCGAACTGCGCAAACCTTGGCCTCCGGCCCAGGAGCATTCTCCATCCCTTCCCCTCTTCACCCTTCAAACCCCGCAATCCCAGAAATACAAAGACTGAGACGAGCAATGCCACGACGGCCACAACGTAGAAACTATATGTCACAGCTTCACCCGGTGTCACCTTATCAATTGCGCCAAATCTGGTCGGCAATGGGAGGAACAAGGACAGTGCCACCAGAGCTCCGCATCCAGTGAAGAGACCGACGAACCCAGCCAGCGCCGGCGCTTTGGATGCCGTGCCATTCTCATCTTCATCTTCGTCCCTCGGGGCACTGTCGGTGTATCGCTCCGGTGTAATCGTCAACTCCGACTCGACGGAGAAGGCTGTGCTGTGCCGGGAGATGTGCGTCGGCTTGCGCCTCGTCGCGAACCCATTCCGGTCGTCGGCTTCGTCAGTCAGCACAGGTAGGATGGCTGTCACCATGGTCGCCCTGAGTATTGTTAGCTTTCTGTTCTGCGCGCACCCAGCCGCCAACACACGGCTCGCGCAACATCCAGGACTTACGATGCCGACGCGCCCACGGCGAAGAAGATGCGAGCGAGAAGGAGCTGGGGGTACACGTTCCTCGCCTGGACGAAGATGGCCAGTGCGAGGCCAATCAGCGTGTACCCGATCGTGGCGACCCATCGCACACCCAGCCGATCCGAGGCCAGGCCCCAGGCGGGACAGGCGACGAGCGCAACGAGCTCGTCAGCGAAGCCGAGCGTGCCGACGACGTTTCCGACGCCATGTTTCTGGCCAATGAGGTCGGTGACGACGAACGAGACGGAGCTGTTGAGGAAGACGAGGAAGGAGATGGAGAAGAGCGAGACGCCGAGGAGGTATGTGAGCGCCTGCAGGGATGTGATCGAGGAGGAGAACGGGAGGTATCGCGATAATGGCTGCATTGTGGTTGACTTTTGGTCCGGTATCTGTTCGAGAGTTGGTGAACGAGTCAAAATGAGGTTACATCGTATCCCCGATGTGCCGCAAAATGAAGAAGAGGAGTGTGGGAGCGGGACGGTTTTCTGGCGTGTTGTTTTACTCCTCGGTTCCTGGCCGCGGACCGCCGAACAGCTTCCGGAAGCTCCAAAACGGACGATCTGATAACTGACTGTCTCGCCACTGGTCGTAATATATTAGGTAATCACAGCCAGCAGGGTGACATTAAAACTGCTACACTCAAGCTCATTCTGCTTATTCTCGAGGCTGTAAATGCAATTGTGATATTATTGGGCGACAATATCAACTACCCAGAAGGCAATAATCTGCAATTGATCAACTGATATGGTTTATATTGCTGTATTAATTGAACTGTTAGGCTCTACTCATGACAGCTCTTCAATGGATGTCTTATTTCTTCTGTCGCCCGGAATGCTCTACGTAATAATTAGCTCAGACAATGCACTCATAATATCAACTAGTTTACTCTTGTCAAATCGCCAACCGAGAAAAACCTCGGCCTGGAGGATAAAAACCCTATTCTTTAAGAGAGTCCAGCTGTTGTTCGATCACCTACGGTTATAGCTCTCACATGCTACATGATGTGTACCCTCGCGACACAGAGTCGGGCAGGGTAGTTCCCCGCCTCTAAGGCTAGCATGTGGTCTGAATAGTTGAGACAACTCGGGAAGTCATGGGTATTGATGGCAGCTGATCCAATGGTTTAGTAAATGAGGAGCCTTCCATCCTAGCCTTGGTCTCGTCAGCGATGACTGGGGACCTTCTCACATTACGAACATATCCCGAAACTCAGCCTCAGCCGCATAAGGATGTGCCATTGTGCTGGCAGTTATGCACACACAAGCACAATGTTCGACTGACAAAGTTGGTTGAGAGTTGTCAGAAGTTCAGTGCGAACAAAGTCATCCATATTTCAGAAAAGCTGCCTCTCAGATGTGTCATGGATTTCCTTCCCAGTAATATCCATGTATCAATATGGAGGATAGTGCGGGCCTCCGGGCCGTAGTTGAGGCACTACAGGCTTAGACACATATCGAGTTAAGCAGCTTGGCAGGGATTCAGAGCCACCATTTATATCCGATTCGCGCTATACCGAATCTGCCTCTGCCTCGCAGCTCGCTGTCCATATACTGCTAGCTCGCCCTGCTTGCCAGGCGCTGAATCCCAAAAGCAGCTATGTCGTATCACCGCTGGGTCTCGATGTCGAAGGAAGGTGACTTCCAATATGGGCTGGACAGCAGGGGCTTCTAATGCGGCACAGTAGCCCTCATGACTGACTTACTAAAAACGAAGCGGAGGGAAGAATCAATTCGATTGGCGGGCGTTTCAAGTATGCAGCAACCCTGCAGCGCGCCCAACCAACAACGCCCGCAAGGTAATGTAATGCCTCGTCCATATATGCCAGGCACGACACCATAAAAAACATCAACATGTAAACCGCGGCTCTGGGACCCAAGCTGCCATGACGCTCAACTCGCTGTATGCGGGATTGAAGTCCTTGCTAAGGTCCTCGATTCCACAGCGGGAGGAGGAGGAGGAGCCAGAACAGTCCGCCGCGGTGGAATCCACGGCCCATGCGGCTATTTTGGAAACAAAGGCCGAGTACAAAATCTGGGCTGAGCATATGAGGAGCAGGTTCAGGTCATGGGGCGTCGAGGAGGCGCGCGACGGCACCTTGCTGCTTGGGGAGGGCCACGGCGACATCATCCTGTCCATCCTGGTCGAGCACATGGCGCTGGAGCTCTTCTACTCTCGCCAGGTCCCTCCGGTCAGGGATCCGTCCGAGCTCTGGGTCGCCGTGCGGGAGTGGTCGTCGTCGCCGAAGCGGTGCTTCATCTGCGAGAACTTCCAGAGGATCCCCAAGATGTCGTGGCACGATGCCCTTGATCGCACAAGCACTGTGCAGGAATTGCAGAAGTCTGCCAAGGCGGGGTGCTTCACTTGCCAGAATGTGCTGGATGCTCTTGAAGCCTTCGTCCCTGAATTTACAGAACTGGAGACGGAGAAGAAGAAGGTCACTATCCGCCAGCAACCGTCTCAGGGTAATCCGTTGGTATTGGCTATCCGGGATAACTCACACGATGGGCTCTGGATGGCGGAGGACGAGTTTCTACTGGAAGTCATCGATGGGGATCAAGAAGCCACCAGTGTTCCTGATTTCTTTGGGGACCATGCCTGGGATTGGGCTTCAAGGCTGCTGCAAGACTGCAACTGTCAGCCGATTGGTGAAGGCACAAACGGCAAGCCGCCACGACGACTCGTCAGGTTATTACCGGGGAACGAACGCTTGGTTCTCGTCGAGAATCCCCCAAGCAGCGCCAGTTACTGTGCTCTGAGCTACTGCTGGGGTAAATCTTCCCACAATCTCCTGACTACTCTCAGCACGCTGGAAAAACACAAAAGAGGCATCAGCCGCCATGAACTGCCAAAGGTGAGACTCCTCCTCCAATGAACTATCTTCATTGCAGAGAGAGCTAATAATTCGCAGACAGTGCTACACGCAGTTATTGCGTGTGAAAGACTCAGCATTGAATATCTATGGGTCGATGCTCTATGTATCATCCAGGATGACCATGGAAACCGCGACTGGTCCGAGCAATGTAGCCAGATGGCCGACATCTACTCCCAGGCCACCCTCGTCATCGCCGTCCACGATGCTGCAGATTGTGCTGATGGATTTCTGGAGCGCGAAGAAGTCCCCCGTTCCTCCCAGGAATTCTTGACCCGAGATGAGTCTGGTGCAGTCACAAGGAAAGGTGTGCGGGAGAGAAGGTTGGGCCTACATGAACTGCCGAACTACCTACAAGCCAACACGCCGCTTTCCAGCCGGGGGTGGACTCTACAAGAGACGCTCTTGGCAACTAGAATTCTGCATTTTGCGGAAAACGAGATGATCTGGGAATGCGGAGAACGCTTCCAGTGTGGGTGCGCTCACTCTCTGAAGAAAGGTCTACTCGTTGGCCGAGAGCTACTGCAGCCCAGAGCAGGATTCTCAGCTCGAGAGAGAGAGGTCTGGCAAGGCCTCGTTGCATGCTACTCGAATCGAAAACTCACAAATGAGCAAGACAAACTACCCGCTATGACGGCGATCTCATCACACTTGGCTTCCATGTGGAACCTGCCGGCCAGAGACTTCCTCGCCGGCCTCTGGAGGTTAGATCTCATCCGTGGACTGCTCTGGTTCCCCGCTGGCCGGGGACCTCATACACGCCCGTCTGCATACTGCGGCCCTACTTGGTCCTGGCTATCGATCACAGGGGGCGTTGGATACCCTCCTTTTTCATCTCGGCCATCATGGAAATTTTCCCCCACCGCCGAGATCATCGACTGCCAAACATCCCCGACCACCTCCGAGCCATTCGGTAGAATTGCCAGTGGTAATGTTGTTATCAAATCAACTCTAGTTCCCGTCGACCTGGCCTGGTCTCACGGGAGTTTTGAAGCCTCTCCTGGAAACGAGTACAACAGCCATCGAGCAGGACCCAGCCGGGTTCACACCACCCAAACGTGCATGGTACATGATCGTGCTTGCTCAATGCTACCACATGCCACGACAGCGTCCTACGAGGTACTGTGCGATGAATTATTAGACGACAGCATGAGCTGCGACCCAGCCAATGAGGCATGCTGGCTGAATGGGAAATGCCAGATCGGCCTGGAACACTGCGCCTGCGGCACAGAGGCAGCAAGCCCACCCCAGTTCTTTTGCTTGCAGATCGGCACGCTGGAGAATGTCCCAGACAAAGACGTCGATGGGAATCGCCCGCGTGGCCGCCACCGCCAGACTTGGTGGTTAGTTCTCAAGCGCTCAGAATCCCAACTTGAATCGTTCGAGAGAGTTGGGATTGGATGCCAGAATACATCCGGATATGATTGCCCACTCTTTGAGGGTAGAGAGGTGGATACCATTCGAATTATATGAGCACGCTATGAAGCTTCCAGATATCCTCTCGAAAGTCAAGTGGGTGCTGTGTATATACATCAAATTGCATTTTCAAATAGAAGAGCATAGAGCCATGAGGATAGACCTCAGAAATGATATCAACGAATTAACGTATCGTTCACTCTTGAGATCTCAAATAACAATATCTATTGCGAGTGTAATATTCACCGCCTCGCCAGGTTGAACCTTTCTGCCGACGGCAGACTCGTAGCAACCAAAACTAGTACCTAACTGACATGGAAAAGATTACGTCTCTCCATGTGTTTTCTTTCACCCGTGATAAAATCCCAGACTCCCTGCCCAAAACCAAAATCAACAATGAAACTCCCCAAATGAATTCCATACTTTATGCTCAAGTGTCATATCTCTCTCTTCACCAGGCCCAGAGAACCTTGTGGTGGAGTGTTCTCGAGCCCAACCTCTCGTACTCAAACGGAGTGATCCAAGAGTCATTCGTGGAGAGCTTGGCAAAGACGCTGGCTCCCTTCCACACCACGACCTGCTCGTCCATGTCTCTTGCACTCCTGCTGACGAGTATCCTGTCTTGCAAGTCAGGTCTCCGGGCCTTCAGTTTCTCTTCCAGAACCACAGTGAAGTGGGGAATCTTGGCACCACCGCCGATAACCATGATACTGCCCAGCAAGTCACGAAGCTTCTTTTCGTCACCCTTTGCAGCGTTCTGGATGCTTGTCAATATCGCAATATCCAGAGGCGCCAACGGGAGAACAGTGTCTCTCTCGATGGCAAGCGCATTGGCCCTGCGAGCTGCCGAGTCCAGGAATGGCGCTGGCAGCGAAGACTGTCCACCTTGTCCGGGAACCGGGGTTCCTGCTGCCCGCGACCCAGTCGGCGCAGGGCTTCCGCCGTTGGCAATGTCCTTGCCAAAGATGAAAGGGGGAGGGACCGGAGTGCTCGCTCCTTCGGGAGCGGGAGACCCAGCGTGCGATCCCATGGGAGTTCCATTGACACCATCTCCCTTGGCGAGGAAGTTGAATTGCGACTTTTCTTTACTGGGAGTGGACACTTCGGGGAGGTTTACCAAGGGAGGGAGAGCCGGGGCATTAGCAAGAGAAGGCTTGACAAGAGCCAGTATGGCCTCCTGGGCCATCGGTGAGGGGTCATCGGGTGTTTCGACATCATAAGCGTTGTATGAGCGCTCGACCAGCTTGCGGCGTCCTCGGAGCTTCGTACTGTTGTCAAAGATGGAGGGTTCGAATACACCCATGGGAGCTAGGATGACTTCGTCGTATGTCTTGAATTGGTATTTGTGGGTAGGTTGGTTGGGCGCTCGAACGTGGAATTGGAAGAGTTGGACTGATATGTCAGCCTGTGACATTGTGCAATGCTTGATTTTGAGCTCCTCGGCCAGGAGGAAGTCGTACCGCCTACGAAGATTGATATCCTGGTAGGGGAAATTGTCGTAAAGGAGCATTTTGATGAATGTGTCTGTGATGTCGTAGCCACCAAATTTCAGGTTGACTCTCGACTCTTCCATACAGAGGCCGTCCTCGACACATGTAACGGAGGTCTTCTGTGCTCCTACATCCACAACGCAGGCCTGTGTGTACCCAGCACCAAAAGTTGCCGCCATGCTTTCTTGAATGAAGCAAACTCTATTGAACTCGAACCAGTTCATGCAGGAACGGAGGATTTGCTCCACATATCGCTTGTCGTACAAGTCAGGAATGACAAAAACACAGCTATACTGCTGCCATTCACTGTTTTTCGATAGTCCAAGCTCCTGCCGTAGGGATTTGTCGAGTAGCGTCTCGAAATCGTCGTAGAGGTGCTCCACGCTGGTGTAATCATCCTCATTCCACCAGCCCTGCTGTATGGGCCACCATAGCTTGAATTTCGGGTCGGAATCATCAGGTACACGCAGAGCTTGGTTCCCTATGAAGCACGACGCGAGCGAATTTGGGTCCTCGAGTGATTTCGGATCCGTCCACTCAATCTCGAGGGGATCATTGTGCGTCTGAATGACCTCGGCATCCGTTCGGCGGTTGAAGGTCTGAACAAGCTCCTTGGAGTTGGGCAAAACCTTGCGCTTGTTCGCTCGCATCTCGATTTTGAGCTCGCTGGACTGTTTTTGGTACTTCTTGGCCCATTCCTCGCCGTACTGCTGTTCCGTCGTCTTGGCCTCGAACTGCCGTCGCGGTAGAGCTTCGTACATCTCGGATTCTGTCTGTGGAAACTTGGTCGCCAAGGTCATGGGTATCGTCCTTGGAAGGGCATCGCTAGCAAATCCAATGCGCAAGTTCTGGCTGCCGGGGTGTATCACAATAATCTTGGAGGGATCAGTCCCGCCGATCGGTGTCGCAGCGGCATCCTCCTCTGGTAGGTCGGTAACGGGTAGAGGAAGCTCTCCATTTCCAGGCTTTGACAGGGCGCGATCGCGATCACGGGCGTTCTGGACCATGCGATCTCGCGACGCATCCGTCTGTAATCTGAGGGCGAGAACCTGATCATCGCGTTTCATGTAGTCCCTGCAGTTCGGATTAGAGTATGATCTTCGGTAAGGCGAAAGGCAGCCCATACGTATAGTAATTCTTCTGGTTGATGGGCGTTACATCCGGCCAGGTCGTCAACTTCATGCCATTGTCGGTTCTCTCGAGCCCTATAAATTGACAACACGCGTTAGCCCTGGAGCTTGACCTTCAACTCGAGGGATGGAGATGGAGGGTAAAAAGGGCGAATGTACCTTCACGGAGGAGAACCCTCTCGCTAACCTTGCCGACCATGGTGAATTGAAAATTTGGGAGTTCGACAACCACCTAAAGACCAGTTGTACGGTGGTTGAACAGGAACGATACCTCATCTCGAAATTCCACATCCCGGCCATTGAGCTACGGCAGCATCAGACACGCCGGGCTTACGATTATCCGTGCACCTACCCTACAGCTACCGACCCTGCTCATATTATCCCAGACTGTGCCCCAGATAGACTCCGCCCTTGCCCAATAAGAATATGGAGTTCTGTCAGAAACGGTATCTCGTGTTGTACATGGAATTACACGCCTTTCATGTGTCTATGGTGTTCTTCTTTTCTTTCTTGTGATTCATTCGTGTGCTTGGAAACTGAGCTATCACGCTAAGGGGCTATGGTGACCAAAGTACCTTTAATGCTGCTCATTACCTGCCTCGCAACTGGGTAATGTGACATGTAGGAAAAGCAGATCCGCCCGCCTGAGAGGCGGCGTGGCTCCTCATCATATCAGACATGGTTCGCTTCATTTCACCTTGCTAGGCCTCCCAAGGGATAGAGAACAGAGCTGTCCAGTGGCGATCTACCAATATAAATCGAGCAGGGGTCGCGAGACATGTCGCGAGACATGCTAGATATCTCAGAGACCTAAGTGGCTAGACCAACAGGCTAGGCCAACTGGAATCTTTCTATCATTTCCCCTCACGCGTATGTGATTTTCTCTCAGAGCATGGAACTAAACTCAACACTGCCATCTACAGCAGGAATTACAATGTTCAATCTGGAAAGGCAAGGAGGCTCGTGGGTGCCAGTGGCCGTTGCTGGTGTCCTGGGCTATCTCGCACTCTGTCGGGCCCTTCGGTTTCGGCATATTAAGGCCCTGCAATCACAGCTGAACTATCCTGACCGAGCATCTTTGTCCCGGATGACAGTACACGATGCCCAGAAGATAATCAACTTCCTTTACTACCAGGAGTTCCCTCTGTTCTATGACTTGTCCTTACGTTTCGCTCTGTTCAAGGTCGATTACCCAAAGGCAGTGTCCTCACCATGGCTAAAGTTAACTGTTTGATAGACATATTCTGTCACCAACGTCGCCCGAGTCCTAGCTACAAGCAGTGACCTGTCAAGGTTGGATGTGGCTGGTAAACGGTAATAGACCTGGACGGAGATGTTGAATGAGCACATAAGCTGACACTAGTGCAAATAGATATGAGGATACCTCCATCCTCTATACATGGTAAGACTCCTTTTGAACATGAGCGAGCCGCCAATAATTGACACCGTTAGTTTTGCGAGATACCAGCCTGACACGGAGGCGTTTCTAAAGGCAGTTGCTAGAATGAACTACCTACACGCACCCTATGTAAAAGCTGGGAAGATTCTGAACAAGGATTTGTTATATGTTCTATTCGCATCTATGGGCGAGCCGGTGCAGTTTCTTCGAATGTTCGAATGGAGGTCGCTCACAGACATGGAGGTTGCAGGCCTGGGCACGCTCTGGAAACACGTAGGCGATCTCATGGGTATTGACTTCAAGGCTGAGCTTGGCAAGGACCAGTGGAGGGATGGCATTGATTTCATGGATGACGTCCGCGTATGGGCCAGAGCTTATGAGGATGAATTCATGCAACCGAACGATCATGTTCAGCAGGTCGGGAACGTCACCATGGATCTGCTCCTGGTATCACATCCCAAGTTCGCACGTCCTCTGGCATATCAGGGCGTACTGGTTATTCTGGGAGACAGGATGCGTCATGCATTTCGGTAAGTTGCCCAGCTCACACAGTCCTCATACTGACGATGATTAACACTCGCTAGGTTCCCAGAGCCGAGTCTCGGCATAACATGCTTGACCTATACCTTGCTCCTGCTGCGTGCATTTTCGCTCCGGCACCTCTGTCTTCCCAGGTTCTTCACCTCGGAGGCACTCTCAGACCCTGATCCCAAGACAGGGCGCATTCACCACTATCGTTACATGAGAGAGCCATGGTACAACCCCCCTACCTTCTGGACTCGGTGGAACCCGGAGGCTTTAATTACCTGGGTGACGGGAGGACTGATCCCCTCAAAGAGCGAGGAGTGGAAGCCAGAAGGGTTCCTATACGAAGACATCGGCCCTCGAAGCAAGATGGGTAAGGGGATCGACGAACTGTCCAAGACGACGGCAGATCTCGCGACCAAGTCGCACATCTCGACACGCCCTTTCATCGGACCGGCCGTGTCCTAAGCCGCCTCCCCGCAACAAGTATTGGATTTGTTTTTTTCTCACTTTTGATTACAACACCCTCACCTCCTCCAAGGCCGCCGAGGAGGTTGGCTCGCTTAACAGGGGCTTTCTGCCGGCCTCATGCAAGGTGGTGGTCGAGAAAAAAACCACGTCAACCTGCGTTGGCCACAATTACCCAGGCATCCCCATGTGCGGCTAATAGATCGGGAATGTGTGCAGTTTTGGAATGAGGTCGGCCGTAAGCTTTCCGTCGCCAAGGTTGTTTGCGGAATAACGAAATTCTAGACACTTGTTGCTGTTGAACTTTGGGGGGCGATCACCTGACGCGGAAGAAATGACGTCGTTGGAGGCCACATGTCAATCATTGATACTAGTACTTGGGGTTTGTAGGTAGCTGCTGCCTGTGCGTGGCTAATTGGAAACAAAGCTCTCTCTCGCTCTCTCTTGACTCACTGCCCGGCTCACCTATAACAATTGAAACATCTCGGCATCCCCAGATTCGACCCCTTCCAAAGCCCCTTGCTCATATCATCTGAGGGCGACCGGAGCGCCCACTAGGCGATCCTCCTGCGACACCCTGACCCCAAGACCGCCGTTTTGGCAACCACCACCTCGCAGCAGCAGCCACCACGACCACCGTAAAAAAGATGGCCCCGATACCAGTCTACAGCTCAAGCCCCATCAATGCGGCAGCAAAGGCCTCGGGGATAACGCCGCGGACAGCTGGCGGCGACCACCACTCCGCAGAGGCTCCAGAAACCACCACGTCAGCAGCCAGGCCGCAAGGGTATCCTGTCGCGCAGCCGGGCGCGCAGCCAACCTTGCCCGCCGCCGCCGTCCAGACAGGAGCAGCAGCACCGCAAACCTCTGCTGCTGCTGCCGCTGCCGGCCTCGAGCCCACGCCAACTCATCAACTGGTTCGCGATGGGAGCCCTCCGGCTCCACAGCCAGGCGCTGTGCCTGTAGCCCCCGGGACGAGAAGCAAGATCCCCCCGCCCCCGAGGGCGGGCGAGTCTTTGCAGGCCGCGCAGCTTCCTCCTGTCGCTACCGCCGTGCCCTCGCAGACGACGCTGCCCCCCCAGATGTCCTACCCTGCTCCCAATCCAACATACCCGCCCCGAGCAGGATCGTCTACGATAACCGCACAGGTGGCGAGATCGGCATCAGGAACTGTGCCCACTCCTCTGGGTGAGCTCGGGCCTGGAGAGGACGGTGACAGGTTCTCCCACCCACCCGGCTACCACCAGAACGCGCTCGGTCCAGGTTTGAGCAGCCGCCAGGAAGATCAGGGCATCTACACGTCGCAGCAGCAGCGCTTTGACGACGACCAGGATGAGGAAGGGCTATGGGGAGCTGCGAGGAAGTGGGCAACAGCTGCCGGTAACAGCCTAGCACAGGCGGAAAACGAAGTTTGGAAAAGGATCAATAAGGGTTAGGGAGACAGGAAAGCATTGGGTAGGGTAGGGCAGGGCATGGCAGGGGTGGTGGTTGGGTGTGCGTACCCAGGTATGTAACTATGTAATGTATGGAATTAAACACAACTCAGCCGGCCGGCTGAGGCAGCATAGCACAACTTCAAGTCGGATAGGTGGTCTGCCAATACGAGGAGAAAATCTCAAACAAGTCTACAAGGATCATCAGGTTTTATTCAGAACCCCGCCCTCTGTGTGTGGAGGAGGAGAGCCCGGGAACTGTAGGGTGAGACACAAATGCGACAGACGCATGTGTTTGAGAATCTATTAATTGATTCTTTTCTCGCTCTTGCTACTGGACTACGTTTTGCAATTCTCACTCACCCATGGGTTCTATTTCGGCACCCACGGCGTATACTGCGCTCTGAATGGGCAGCATGTTTAATTATTGCGTGTGTCAGACGCTGTCCAATAATGGGGTCCGGTCGCATTTTCCAGCACATGTCAAACATGATCAATTTCCATAAGTTCGCTGATTCGAGGAGGAGAAATAAGGTCGATTCTGCAAGTCTGACCCCCAAGAACCGATCCACAGCGAGGAACGAGAGCCCTTGTTCCTATAATTACTTGCTATTGCACGAGGGGAGCATGCGGGTGGGTGGTAATAAGTCGGCCATGCAGGCAGATGGAGCGAGAGATTGGATCTCGACTCTTGAAAAGTGCGCCTCCGATGCACTTTATTGCTTTGGCGTATTGATCGAGGCAAATCACAATCCAGCTGGCAACTGGCGGTGCGTGAGCGTGACACTGCTTCAACCTGAGCAACCCACCCCCTCCCCCTGTGATCTTCGGGGAAGCCAGTGATGAGAGGGAGGGATAAGGTAGGTAGGTATCCGACAAGGCGCGAGTACGTACATTGGACGACGATTATGGCACCGCGCAGGCAGGGTGGTGTCCGATCCTCGGGCGCGGGAAGCGGATATCGCAGTCAGGGGGGGACGTGGAACAAAAGATCGAAAGATCATAGAACTCTGTGGTATTAGTGAGGACTGGTGGAGGAGGGGCAAAAGAGACAGCGAATCGAGTGGAGAGAGGGGAGGGGAGGGGGTGGTGACTGAAATTTGGCTGGCCTGGCCTGGCAGAGCGGAAATGGCCGATGGATTCGCGGCTGGAGCGATACACTTGCATCTGGTTTCTGCAGGTAATTCGCAGGTCATCCGGCTGTAATCTCTGATAGCCGGCTGGCCGCCCAAATTTTAAAAGGACTTCCAGAAAAGGACCAATCAATCGGAACCTTTTGGTCCTTGCTTTTTCTTGCTAGAGAGGATGGGGGGTCCTGTCTTGTCACGTCACAAGAACAAGTGAAGCTCCTAGTGGGCTTAGCTGGATGATCACTCCATCATCGAGCACAGATATTCACTTGGACGGCCCTGAAGATGGCGCCCGCCTTGGTCGGCCACGCAGAGTTAGGTCCTGCTAGTGAGGCGGGAGGCGCGAGTTGGCGCTGTGGGGCGGGGCCATGATGTGAAGCGGGAATGAATTACCTTTCCTTGCTGCATCTTGGTCCCGCTGCTGCTCTGCTTGTGCTTGTCTGGTGGCTTGCTGGGTGCGGCCATGTCAGGATGAGGGGCCATCTAGCACCCCGGTCGCCGCCAGTTTAGTTTACAGACAGCCAGCTGGGTTGTGGTACAGCCAGCAGCACAGAAGTACTCGATATTATGTGCGATCCATGGCTGGCGTGCACGTACGTTGCAGTCGAAGTGTTGCTAGTGCTGCAAGATGAAGGCTACTGCTCCTGAACTGCCCGGCTAATCTAGATTGGTCCGCGACCTGTGTGTGGGAGGAGCCGAGTGAATAGAGTGTACCCTGTCGGCCAGTTGCAGTAATACCCTACCTACATACATATTGCTCAGATAGATCAACATCCACCGTCGCAGGCAAGGGAGGCACCAACTGACGTCTAGCTGGGCCCGACATGGGCCGGGGGCGACGACGTGGGTGGGCAACATCTCGCTCGTAGGACCACCGAGTTATCTCCCGATGAGAGAGGGTGGACAACGGCAACGCAACAACTACTCTATACTGCTAAGATACCCAAATCATCTAGATCACCGGGGGGGATTTCTGGTTGGCTGGTGAGGGAGGGTGGGGGCCGGATCTATATTTACACTTTGCACGGAGTACGGCGCACGGAAAAGGCGGACGTGGGCCACTCGAGCTTGGAGTGCGGCGGAGATACGCTAAGAGGGCTTCACCGTTGTTGACGTGCGCAACTTGCGGCTGCTAGTACGAATAGGTCGCGCCCCGAGAACAGCGTCCAGGGCACGGCTTCTGAAAAGAGACAATGAGAAGGAGGGCCAAGTGCCGATGGGGAAGGCCGGTGCAGACGTCCAAGATGTTCGTTTCTTCCTTTTCCCTTCCATGGCTGAGGGCTGTTTCATACTGGCGTGTGTCATTTTACCACAGCCTCAGCCCCGTTGACCCTTCCATTTCGCGAAAGTGTGGCGTAGCTCGGAGGGTGGTGGTGGTGGGTATATGGAACACAGGGTAGGGAGGGCATCAGTAACAGAGTGTGGTTGAGCGGACCAGTGAGAGGGCGGCGTGGTGCGAGTTGGAGCACGAGAATGACTGCCCACATGCCTGCAAATTTTCAGCCTTGCTGCTGTTGTCGCGGTTGTGGAGGGCTGAGCTGGCCTGGCAGGTCGCATCGATGGAAATCAGGCCATTTAGTCCGGGGTGATAGGCTACTGCGAGGGTTGCGACAGATCTGAGACAAGCCCAACGTCGTCGAGTGCCGCCCGCCAGCCAATGGGAGGGCGCCGATGCGCAAGCTTTACCCAGAGGGGCTAGATTTACTGCACCGGCCCTGGCATTGGGCTGAGGCAGGCGTCAAATCATGACGCACGCTTCTGTTGTGCCCCTCCTCCGCCCAGAGGCTGTCAACGAGGAAAAACAAGACCGACCGATGACCTACTGCGCTGGTAGTAGTGGTGCTATGACTACTGCTGGGCAGCTATGGATGGATGCCCTCCTCAACCGCACTAGCCACCTCGAAGTCGACGGCGTATAGGCACTTATACTCGCGGTACCTGTGCCAATGTGTACGTCAGGAGGAGGCGATGGGATGGTATGGCATGGCATGGCGGAGAGATGTGCGTGTCACACACTGTACTTGTGCGTGCCCAGCCTCCAAGGTAGCAGTCTGCTGTAGGTTCGGTAGGTTGTAGGCAGCACGTCGGAACGGAGGTACTGTAGGTACCAACTCAGTCCTGCCGCCTCGCACTCTAACGCCGACGTGCGTGCTGCTCGCGTCCGTCCTCGCCGGCACCATTGCTTGGTTTTCACGTCGATATACGGCCGATGCTCGTGCTCAGTGGGCGTGATGCTCACGCTATGGCGCGACATTACATTCACACACATGATCCTGCTAACCTTTGTCGGCAGTTGGCATGCGTCGCCATGACTGGCCGACCTTTGCTCCTTGTGGTCTACCAGCAGCCGTGTGTGCGACGCTCTCTTGCTTAGGCCGAGTGTGGCAAGGAAAGCCATGGCTTCGCATCGACGCAAATCTCCAATGAGCTCGTATTTTGCACACTCCACACACTTCGTTGGGCCCCGCCCTTTTGGCCCTTTGGTGCCAGTTCCCGGCCGGACCCTATTTGCTCTGCCTATCGGCAGGATCGGGTTTCTGTGACTGGCTTGTTTGAAGTGACAGCTCGCGCGAAAAAGCAACGTGCAGAAATGCAAGCAGAAAAAGAAAGCCAATACGAGCACCAAATGGTGCCCAAACTCCAGGTTTCTGAGTCGAGAACGCCGAGTTTAATTCGCGGCTGACCAAACAAGGATCTGTTACAAGATTCGCTGTCAAATTGCGTAGCCCGGCTCTGCTGTCGGCGATCTGGAGGGTCTTCGCCTTGATGGCCAGTGCCGGTTATTCTTAGATTAACTCACCCTGCAATCCAGGAACGTTTGATAGCGGCCACCATCAGCGAGTGCTAGAGGCAGTCAGTCAGTCGCACTTGCCGCCAGTGGGGTGAGTCGGAGGATTTGTACGCTGCCGTAATAGCCTGTAGGGAAAGTGCGGTTCCAGTGTGGATCGCCCTCTGGAGCCAGCCTGATGCTAGACAGCTCCCTAAGCTGCGACTGCACAGACGGAGGCCCGGATCGTCGTCCATCATCTCAGCCGGGAGGCACCAACCTGGCCGGGCAGATTGACAGCTACCTCGCGCACATGACCCCTCGTTGGGTGTCTTGACAGCTCTTCTCTCTCTCTTGCGCTGCCTTCCCTTACCCCGTCTTTCCATCCATGTCCAGACACCGTCCTGCTCGCGTACAGGGCTCGGATGGCCAGACGAGGACGCTAGCGCATCGTTCCAGGCCATGAGCCAATGGCGGCCAGCGCACGAAACTGCCGTGCGTGGGCTGGGGAGCACTCAACTCTCCACCCCAGAGTGCATCTTGGCCGGTGTTGCAGTGCATGGCCCAGCCCATTGTCATGAGTGGGAACTCAATTCACCTGGCCCGGTTGCATGCACGATTCGCGGCACCCTTTAGCATCGCTGGGAAAGCCGCTCCTGGTGCGAATCCCAGGGTACCCGGACCGATGTGTTGTGCTTCTTCTTGCAGACCCAGCTTTCTTCCACGCCCACCCCCCCCCTTGGACCTTGGACCCTGAGCCGTCGCAACCCCCTTGACCCTGGCTCCAGAGCGCATCTCACTCTCTCCTCATCGACAACAAACATGTAACACACCAAGACCGCCTGGGCTTGTAGGTGCGGGTCCCGGCCAACGTCGCTCATCCCGGTCTTGCAGATTAGGAGGAGATGTCACGCCCCCGCCTCTCCTTGCCTGGAACATCCCAAGCAGGCTGTGGGCGCAAGGATGATGCCTCTACTGGCGTCGACAGCTGTACAACATCTCGTCTTATACCTCCTCGAGCACCCGGCTACACCCTCCCCTCTATATTCCTTTTGTCCCGTTTTCGTTATACGTATTCTCGACATTATTTTCTTTCTACTCTGCCCCGGATCTTATTCGCTCGCTCAGCTAAATCCTACCGTCTATAATACAAATCATCATATAGGTACATTACCTACTCACTCCCTCAAGAGAGCCAACCCGTTCTCTCTCATTAAACCACCCAGGACCTCGCGTCAATCACTCTCTCGTCACGGCTTTTCTTTTTACCTCTTCATTGCCTTAATTGGAAATTCGCCCCTCCCTTACGAGACTTTTTCTTGCCGGGTCAGGTACTCGGCTCGCTCTTCCAGCTCCACGCTTCCTTGTCTCGACCTCAGTACATCAGAAGCAAGCCTGATTAAGGCACGATACCCCATAATCGAGTAAGTTATGCATGCCTAGACCCGCGCTAGATGATGTGGTGTTGACATGAGCTGTCCGCCTGTACTTCTCCTGTGGGGGCCACTCGCTGACCTTGCAATCCCCAGTCCTACAGCCTCTCATTAAAGTAGTATACCTTGCCCAGTTCTTCCGTCATGGATTCGGCTCATCTGAAGTTGTATGTTCTCTTCTGTTTTTTTTACATGTCCTCCTGTTACGACCCATCACGACTATTAACTGACCATTACCCCATCTGAAGACGCTCCAAGTTCCAACGAGCCTTCTTCACATCCAATCCTGACCCTACCCTCTATACCCAAGAAGCACCTCAGACACCTCCTTGTATCACAATGTCAGAAGACGACGTCTCATGTAAGGTTGAAGTACCAACGCCTCAGGAGGCATGGTCGACGCCAGCATCTCAACAAGGACTTACACCCACTACCATGGTCGGGGGCTTCAACTTCTGTATGCCCATGGACCAAATCTCACAGCCTTCTCTGGATTCATCATCGGTACACCAAACTCCCAGCGAGACACCTTCGCGACCAATGTCTGCACACAAGGAAATCCAGCCTCCGACGACGGGGGAGGAGAGTAAGTAGCGCACCAGAATCATCTCTCACTCATGGAATCCCCCCCATTAACATGCCATCGCTAGACTTTTGGGCTCAAAAATCATATGACGGACAGTTCCAACACTTCCACGGAGCTGGAGCTGGACAAGACATGCGAATGTGCCAGGACTTTCATACCGAAGAAGCCATTCCTATTCTCGACCTGGAGCACCAGGAGGGGTACCAAAATTCATACCAGATGAACTTTGACGACGTCGCCCACTCCCGCAGAATATCTGGGTCGTCCTTCACCATGTCTACTTCTGGTGCCTTGTCAGATATGCAGTCTTACGACGACTTCTCGACAGCTCTCTCCGACGCGCCCTCTTTCTGCTCAGAGTACCCCCCACCATCCAATCGCACTTCTTGGATGTCTTCCACCCATCTCTCTCCCGTGGCTTCTCCACGCATGACAGCACAGGGCTGCCGTCCTGACATTGCCCGGACTCAGAGCCGTGGACGAGCATCCCCTTCGCCGCGACCCAGCATCCGATCCGCGCCCTACAGCATTGAGACCCCAAGAAACGCGAAGCGATGGTCTACAGGATCATATGGCACTATGTCAAACCGCCGCCCATCGCCCTTTGTGTACCACCCCGGACAAGAAGCCCACGGTGCGCACCAGCAGCGTATGTCCTCGCGCGATCTTCCCCTCCCCTCTCATCCCATCGGGAACTACCTCCCACTGACACATGGTCTTGAAATAGCACACGCACAGCCCCCATTCCTCATGAGTTGCGGACCTACAGTCCAGAGCCAGAGGAACAGCATGCTCCTACCTACTCAACTACCCTCGCAGACTCTTCAGAGTGACGCTCGACCATACGACGCCCCTGCTCCTCTAATGTCACACGGTCTCTTCAGAATGCTCCAGAGCAACGCTGACGCTCATTCTCTCCACCGCCGCTTCGCTGAGCTGTCTGAGCCCCCGGACTTGTTCGGTGCTCTCAACGAGGAGCAGGAAGCCCCTCCCGAGGAAGACATGAACCCCTCCGACCCCGACATGATGCCCCGAGAGCAGGACCTGAGATTCGAGGGCGACCTGTATACCCCTCGGTGGGTCCGCGGACACGGCAACAAGCGCGAGGGCTGGTGCGGCATCTGCAAGCCCGGGCGATGGCTCGTCCTCAAGAACTCGGCCTACTGGTACGACAAGTCCTTCTCCCACGGTATCAGCGCCGCGACTGGCAGCTCCTTCCAGCAGCCTCTCGAGACGCGGCGCATGGATGGAAACCCGGACGTCTGGGAGGGTCTGTGCGGCAGCTGTAACGAGTGGATTGCTCTCGTGAGCAGCAAGAAGAAGGGAACCACTTGGTTCAGACACGCTTACAAGGTATGTACAGGCATCGCACATTCCCTCAAAAAAGCAAATAAAGAAAAGAAAAAACTTGAATTACGTATCGCTAACCCGAGACTCGCAGTGTCACTCCCACGCCAAAGCCAAAGACTCGGCCAAGAGACGACGTGGTAGCAGCAATAACCGAGGGCTCCCTGCTCCGGCTATCCATAAGATGAGCAGGGGCGACCAGGCTGTGACACCGCACCCGACCTCGTCGCCCATCACAACCACGCAGATGCCGGCCACCACCATGCCCCACGTTTCCTGCCATCCTCACCACCACCATCACCACCACGCCCTCATGCCGACCCAGATGCCGCAGGCTCTGCTCGCAAACGACCCCTACCCCAATATGATTTAATCCATCGAGTGTTGACCATCGATAATATGGGTACCAAACTGGGCCTGGGGCTCGGTACAAATACCCAGTACATCCTGGCGATGGGCGCATGAAGGAACGACTGATACGGAAATGGGCATGGGATGGCTTTTGCATTGGCCTCGACGTTTTCAACAATACCTCTCTCTCACTCACTGACCCCTCTTTCTCGCAACTACTATTACAGGTGTGATGATACCGGAAGCCTGGGGTTTCCCTCGTCACGTTACACCCTCTCTTCTTGGTTGTGAGATCCAAGGGGTCCTGTCACTTGGATCGAGTCTTTTTTTTGCCGCGGAGTTTTCATTAGAGAAAAAAGGGCACTAGTAGGTAGATATTAGGTAGACTTGGAAAGGATTCTACATCGTTTGTTGTTTTTTTGGTATTTGTTTTCCTGTTTTTCTTTTTTACTCGACTATTATCATGTTTGGATGTTACGAAATGGCTATTAAGGAAAAACCAATCTACGGGTCTGCTGGCCAGCCAAAATCTTAGTATAGTAGTATCTAGATAAAAAAAAATTGCACTGAAAGATGACTTCGGTCAAGCAACTTACAGATTCCATGATTTCCCCTTCCCATGGCCCAGGATTACTCGGCCCCAAACGTCTGGTGTCTGGTGTCTCTTCGCGTGCTCGAAAGGGCATCCTGTTTCTCGATGTCTACTAGGCTGGACGTCCCGCAATGTCGGCCTGTACCATTTGGGGTACCACTCATAGAGGTTCCTGACGCGTGAGGGTGTTGGCAGGTACTCCAATCATGATCCCGGGCTCCCTTACCGACCTCCCCTAATCAGTCGCAGCAGCAACAGGGACTGGGGCCCACAAGGCGCTGTGGTTAGTGTCCCTGCCGCCCTGTGCTCTAGCAGGCACAGGTACTCCGAACGACAGCGAATTTTTTCTTGCGCTGAAAGGGCAGCATCCACGAAGATGCACGAAGTCATGCAGCTCGGGTATACTCGGACTCCTGACTCTGGAGGAGAGCGACAGGTAATGACCCTTGCTGCATCTTGGGATGGTTGAATGCACGCGCGAGCTGCGCGGCGGGTTCGGTTTGCACACCGACCCAGAGAGAATGTGACGGGCGCCGTGATTGGACTTGGCATTCCCATGATGGCCGCCTCGACTGATAGGTACCTAAGTAGCCTTTCCCTTTAGTGTCTCCTCGGTGCGCGGCTCACACCTGTACGTCCTCGAATCCTTCTCGTCCCTAAAAGGGCAAGTATAACGAATATGCACACTCTTGGGGCTCAAGGAGGGGTTCGGGGCTTTCGGACTAATTCGATCGATGACATGTTGCTTGGGCAGGAAAATCCTGGGTGGGCTCCTTCGGGGAAGAGAGCCCTACGATGTTCTTTGACAGGGTGGTGCTAGTAATTCTTCGAGAGAGGGAAGAGAGAGCGTCCAAGAGTTTTGAGGACCAGGTCCCAGGATGGTCGTATCACATTAGTGCCGTCATACTTGCTTCTTGTGATACTAGTCGATACAGCTAGACAGCCTGCTGCCGCTGTCGCAATCGTTGGCTAGTCTATCGCATGTGCAAGGCGGACGGCCCACGGGTCCAGGGGGAGGGAGTGTCGACGAACAGGGTTCCCCTAGTTCGAGAATTAAACATGCAAGGGGCGAGATCGTTTGTATTTTGTTGGCCGATGAGGAGGGGCGGATGTGATGTGAATCCAGAAATCTTGAAACATGGGGGCCAGCAAACTTTACCTGACCACTTACCTTGCTCAGGAAAGGTGCGGAGGAGGCACACCACCATTCACTGCCCATTTGAGAAGACGTTGGAAAGCTTGACCCTTTTGGCTGACAGCATGCAGACCGGGCTTGTACCAACATGGCATGTACATTGTGACGGGACGCCAGGCACCGCGACCGGGTCTGCTTGCGAACAATGGGCGTGCATCTGGGATTTCGTCTTGCATGCACATCGTCTTACCCCCACACACGGTCGAAGGGAGATGGATCGGAACAGGAGAAATGCCGTTTGGCCCAGAGCCAGCAGGGCCTGCAGGCAGTTGCTCAACTGCCCATGTCCCTGACCTGGCCTCGACATGGAGCACCAAAGAGGGTAGGGTGTCTTGTGGAGTTAGCACCCGGAACAAGGAGCAGGTCTTGAGCTTTTCGCTTGCGTCGTTAGTGGCTGAGGGTCAGCCACTCACCGCGATTACACGTGTACCATCAAGACTTGCTGGAATCGCGGCTTAGGTAGCCCGCAGCGCGTTTGATCCAGCATGTTGCCTGTCCGGATCGCACCAAAAGGGTCTGCACTTCGTTGGCGTTGAGGGCCAGCCGCACCGTGCTGGTCCCGTGAATTCGCAGAGAGCCACCGGCGATGTGGATGTGGCCGTCGCCGACCCCAGGCCCAGGCTGACCCCCCAAGGCGCCGATGGGCGTCAACCTCCTCCATGATAACAAAAGGACGAGCCCAAGTCAGCTTGGCCAAGCCTGCCGGCTAGGCTGCTTCGGGAGGGGTGTCGGTGTGTTATACTCTGTATCGTCACAGACACGTCGACAGGCACGATGGAGGGCAGAGAGAAACTTTTGCTGCGCGTCCGACATGTCCCGGATGAGGGAATCCCCATCTTGTCCGCCTCTTCCGCTGCGTCGCACCACCGGCCCGGGGTAAGATGCCCCCTCTGGAGGCGATGCACTTCACCGGCTGTCTGATCGACGCCCAGAATGCATACCTACGTAGCAATGATTTACCGTGAGGCTATTACTGACTCGGAGACTGGGCCCTAGCATCCACGGCCAAATTCATCAGGTCTGGATGTACATACAAGCTATATTGGGGTTGTTATGATGCGACGATGAGCCGGGGATGGAACCCCCGGTGATTGCAGGTAGGGACTTGATGCTGTCCAAATCAGGCCGGATGTCTGGAAGAGGAAGCGTATGCAACGTAAATCTGGGGAGGGGGTGGGCTCTCGTCCATGGCGACCGCCATAAAAGAACAATCATCATGTCGCAAACGGGAGATTTCTGTTCGAGAAGGGGGAGCCGATTGCAAGGATTGCAACAACCACCTTCTGGTATTTGCTGGCTTGACGTTCATGGGTGCGTGATGAATGTCCTAATTAGGACCCAGTGTCGGACCACTGACTCCTAATATCAGCAGCAATAAGAAGGGACGAACCTGCCAGGGGCTAAGACTGTCTCAGAAATCTACCAGGCCGCATTCATCTTGATCGAGCCAATTTGGTCGCTCTCTGGCAAATGGAATGAGATCTACTGACATTTCGGTGGGGCAGCTTGACAATGCCATGGTGAGGATCATGGCTTTGTCGCGAACATGTGCACATTTTAGTGAGACAAAGACGTCTCAAGTCTCAGGATCAAGGCCCATCTTGATGTGTGACTCATCAAGGTTTCGACCAGCCTGGCCATCGTTTCGGGCCGGGCTGCCTGGTTCGAATAGTTCGTCCGAAGAGAACTTTATTCCCTTGATAGTCAGGAACCATCTGCCATTTGAGATGAAGTATAACAAGACGCTAGATGTATGAGAATGCCAGGCGGCCGGGGGGAGACTGTCATGAGGGATTGACGTTCCTCCAATGCACCAAACCCCATTGCAGCCTCTCCTCGGCTCACCATCGGCTATCGTATCATAAGTGTTAGAAATTTAGTATCTGCCTAGAACTTAGGCAGAATAGATAAGAGGGTGGATAAAACTCCTCCGTTTAGACGACTTGTCTGGTGGTTGCAGCCGTGTTTGAGTATGTTTGGCTAAGGCTGGAACGATTGGCTCCCCGGCAAAGTTGGAGGATAGCTACATGCACCGCCATATGCAGTCACGACTGCTACCTACCCAGCTAAGCCACTTGAGTCGGGAGACTAGAATGGTTTGATGATAGAGTATTCGCGATGCGACCGGGCTTACTTCGTAGGTTTGTTAGCTCAGGGGCAACAAGACTGATTGGCTTCCATCTCGCCATGAGAATTCCCGCAGCAAGTTGATCTGGATTTGTGGCTGCGCAGCTCTGCTCTGAATTGTCTTGCTTTGTTTCTGTTGACTTGGTTGAGAATTTCGGTGGAATTCCCCTGGTGCGATGACCAAGCAGCCATTGGTAACCGGACGCTTTGGTCTTAAATTATCCGACAGTGGTGTTATCTCTAGCCTTTTGACGTTTGGTAACGGCCGGACGAGAGCTTCGCCATTGAGTTTGTGGTGGCGAAATGAGAGCTCTGCTCTGACAGCCCCGTCAACAACAAAAGCGTCTCTTCTCGGAGCCAACTGAGCAATTTGATGGGCCTTTGTCCGGTTATGAGACACACGGCAGCTCGTCGCATCACACAAGCCAAGTGAAAAAGGCTGTTTTCCTTTCTCACAACAACGATATAGCTCGTGTCGGATGATCCAACTCTGCCGTCTTTAGTTTCTGGGGTGGATTGAAGTGAGTGTGAGCGACCGGGAGACAAGCAGATAGAAGTGTTGTTCCCATACAATGCGTATTTGCCTTTGCATTGTAGGTAGCTGTTCTTAGGAAAAATCGATGCTCGTAGGAAAGACCCTCGGGGATGAGAGGATCTGATTGCCTCCAAGCTATCGTAGCCGACCTGGTGTCTCTGCGTGCTACACCAAAGGCGCATCCACAGGTGTTCTTAGCGCCTGCACCACCAGTCGCTCCTGTTCATGGTACCGGATGAACAACATGGAAGGCCTCCCTATCGACGCAAACAATGATGTAAATGATGGAGAGAGGACGATGTTGACAGCTACAGCAGAAGATAGCGTTCCTCTTCCATCTAGGTGCAGCCGCCAATGCAGAATAAGGTGCGTAGTTTCCCCCATGGCGGATGGTTCCTGCGTGCTCTTGCCCAGTCAGCCCCCGCTAGAGCTTCTGTAAGCAGCAGCGACTTGCAGTTGAGTGTGACGAAAGCGCCAATCGCAGCCAATCCTTAGGTTCCTGGAGCAGCCGTCTCCTCCTCTCCCGCCCATCCACCAGCCATTCACAAGCTCCCATCGCAGCCAACAGCCAGG